TCTTCCAGCAGCAACCTTAGTTTTTCCCAGGAGTCTCCCATCCGGGTACTGGCCAGGCTCACACCTGCTGAGCTCCAGTGGGTTACCAGTTGTGAGCTGCAGGGTGATATGGCTGCTGGCCTCTCCCCTGCCCGTATTCATAAATTGTTTGAATTGAACGTAGTATTTGATGACCTTCATGGACATTTTCTCCCCGGCAGACCTGGGTTCGATTCAGTATTTGAGCCCGTAGCGTATAGTTTCACTGTCCTGGACGTTGAGCCAGATGTTGTTTGTCCTGGGGGACCAGCTGTAGGTATTGTAGAGAGCCAGGGGGGGTTTGGGTGTGATTGTTCTGGTGTGTGTTCTGTCAGTTCGTAGATTTCTGGTCCTTGAGGCCTGACGTGGTCAGATACTCAGACGCTAGATCCCTAATTAGTTCAAAATTACCTAATTACTTAACACCAATCACCTGCTTAGCTGATCACAAGAAAATTGTTCCATTCGTTTAGATATTGGTGATTTCTTTGTGTGGGGGCAACACTGCACTAAGACTAGTCTAGAAGCAGTTAAATTAACCCACCCACTGAAAGCTGTGTAAGACAGAGGTCCTTAACACAATTGCTGGAGCACCTACAGTCTTCTGCGTCTTCTGGAGTTTTGAATATCCTGTTACATGAATGATTTATTTTTTTATTCAGCTGGATAATTGTGATACGGCTATCCAAGAAAATCCTTATATAAGACTATTTTAGGTGATAATTAGATTAATTGTTTAATTAAGTAGGAAATTAACCCAGGTTAAAAAAAAAACAGAACCCTGATATAAAAGTTTGAAAATGATATAGATTTAAACTTGTACAAGCTCTACTGTTTTTCCACTTTAAAAAAAATGAGAACAGGGGAGCTTCGTGGAGACCGCCTGAAAATGTTTTACAGAAACCCCTCACCACTGCTGCAAAGGTGACATTTCAGGTTTACCGGTTTCTTAATCATATCAATACTTTCGTTTTCTCTCGCTTCGTTTCACAGATGGGCCACCACAAGCACATCTGTAATAATAGGGGGTTTTCTGATCAAAGACAGGTGCGTATTTGATGATATATCATGTCCGTTACTTCACCTGTTAGCAGCTGTTTGTTTTTTTTCTCGGGGTGGTGAATTTCGTGTAAAAAAAAAAGATGATTAAACAATTTCGTTGCAGAGGAAATAGATTGGCAGGTTTTCTCGATGTAATTGTAAAAACATTTTACGTGGAAAAACTACTTAGTTCAGCGCTCCGGGAAAAGCATTCATGTGTGCCAATTTGACTTGACAAAATCTGGAAAATATTATCATTAATACTCTGCCGTGTTAAAGGAGGAAAGGCGCAACAAACAGTCATGTGTTTCCATAATATTGAATAAAAATAATTTAACCTGGAACACTACAGGAAAATACTTTGTGACCGATTAAAGGTTACCGTTGCCTGAAGTAAAGAGTGAAATGGTTATTTCTCAACTAAAACGCGGTCGGGGTTATTAAGTGACGCGGGGATTTCGAGTTTATAAAATGTATTACCTCTGTATCATATCCTTCTGTATTTATTGCGTTGGAGAAGCAGTTGTTGCAATTTCTACTCTCTGCAGAGATGTGGCGCCCTATTATTATTATCAATCGTCGTGCGGTTTTTTTTTCTACGAATAATCTGTAAGGTTTTAACTTGTAATACTGTGTTATTGCAATCAAGGTTAAACTCCTCTGAATCTTAGTGTAGCCTGCCTTTACAGTTGCTAATCCAATATGTTTTATATCATTACTTAATTTCCCAAATATATAATTCATATACTGTGTTTACTACGTTAAGATTTTATTAAAAATCCCAATTTTATTTTTCCGAAAAGGAATTTACAGTACTAATTCCAACGTGGCGATGACGCGTATCGATTGTTGACCTTTGATCGATACGAAACGCAAGAAATGGAGTTTTTGAAAGACCATTTATTGTGGAGACCGCACCCCTTCTTAAACACATTTCTCTCATTTGTGTAGCAGTGCAAAGATGACGCGTTTGGTTTCAGATCTCAAATAATATTTTAAATGTATTTTTTGCATATAAATACGGATTGCAAGTATCGTTCGTTTTATGATGCTCCATGCAATGCCATACGAAAAAAAGATTGTTATCCAAACATTAGTCATAACGTATATATACATATATATTAAGATATTTCTCATGATGTTCAAGAAGCTTGAGGACCACAGTCGAAAGGTTATGCGTTGGAAATAATTTGCTGTGTTAACATGCTAATACAGATTTGTTGTTATTTCTCGGATTGGAAATTTCTCAGAAATTGGGGTTTTCTGATTAATTCTGATTTTCTCACTTCCTCATAAAACGAGAGTAGCTAAATTTGTCTGAAGTAACTTGAAGGACAAAAGAATTACTACTGTTTTGGGGGGTATTAAGCAGAATTGCCTATGTTGCCTCCACT